CGTTTTCTTCTGTTCTTTCCTCGCCTTTTCTTCCTCTGCTCCTCTAGCCTCCCTTTTTTTCTTCCTCTGCTCCTCTAACTTTGCTTTTTCTCTTCCTCTGCTCCTCTAATCTCTCTTTTCTCTTCCACTGCTCCTCTATCCTCCCCATTTCTCTTCCTTTTATCTTTTTCTCTTCCTCCGCTCTTCTTCCTCGGCCTTACCTTTCCTCAGTTCTAGTTCCTCAGTACCTCGCCATTTCTCTTTCTCTGCCTCTCTGACCTTACCTTAATGCTCTAGTTACCTCCCAACCCATGCTCCGACATCCGCATGACAGTTCAACTTTGATCTGTTCACTGGGAGATGAGAGCAAATATGCTCTCATCAACTTACACATTTTCAACAGATGCTGAATACGAGCACCTTCACACTTGCTAGACGCACTGCAAATACGCTCTTAAGCCTCTTTTTTTTATTTTACAGGCACGAAGAAGCCGCTTTCAAGAGGTCATTAACACACTCAACTCGTCCTTTACTCCGTCTCTTATGTGTTTTTATTGACTCTCGTGACGCTCTTGGGACACTCCGGAAGTCCTCTAGGAAAATCATGGCGCTTCTTTCCTTCGCTGTAATTATGAAGGGTCGCCTGGGGAGAAGACGGGTAGACTAGGCTATCCATTTTATCTATCGAGGCTAAACGCTATGCGTACTAGTGGCTTAAGGTATTGTATGTACATTCTCTATCTTTAAATCCAACATTATGTAACTCAATGTATGTACCTTTACCTGAATAAAAAATCTAAATCTAAAATTTTTTCTCGCTAGACTAGGCAGTTTCCACATGTTTTTTGTTGTTGTCTTCCCTGTTTATAGTTTAATATTCTTGTAATAATAACACAAGTAAATATTAAATAAATAGTAAATAGTAAATAAAACACTATTACAGTAAATAGTGCAACTAGCTTATCAAGACCGTAACTTGCTTAAGTAACTGAATTTTGGGGTTTCGTTCCAATAAGCCCATTTTGGGCCGTGAGGTGCATAATAAATGAACTAAACTAAATTGAGTTGGAGAGAGTTGAGTTACCTGTGAGTTTACAGTTTTAAAAGTCCTCTCACTTGCAAGTGAAATCGTGGAAAAGAAGCTGTACGCGAATGGAAACGGAACAATGAAATTATCACACCAGCCGATTAATTGGTTCCAAATGACCTGGAATTTCATTCCACACAAACTCAAAAAGGTGATTAAAAATTCACACTAACAATGGGCTTGGTGAAACGTTGATTTCGATAAGCAACAAACATTAAGTATATGTTCACGTTAGACAAAAACAAGTTTTGAAATGGTCTCGTTAAGGAGTAAATATTAAATCCAAACATACGAAATAAATTTATCGTTTTGATATTATTTCAGCGGAGATGATTCAAAATGCACAACAGAAACCAACGTTATTGCTGGCTTCAGATAAAAAATTAGAGATCTTATATCCAATTTTAAGTAATCACAAAAGCTTCTGATTTATCGTTTGCAGACAATTTATATGCGCCAAAATTGTCTTATTCCAAAATATTACCCATGAATTCAGACAGCAATAGACCATTAGATCCAAATTAGGTTGCTTGTTTAGAGATCGCTTAGTTCCGGTAAAAACAATGTAAAACATAGATTCTGAAGGGACGCGCTCGACAGTGGAGCATCTATAGGGAGGTTCCAGGGGGATCCACCACTCGCCCTAAGCAAATTTAACAAAAGTGCGCGCCTTTTCGACAGTTTCAAAAGTTTTTCAATATATGCACATATTAAATACAAACATATTTACAGAAAAGTAGTATAGATCTAGTAAGTTCCTCATTTGATTCGTTTTTTTTTTAAAAGATATGAAATATATGCGAAATGAGTATGAATGAGAATTCAAACGGATTGAAAATTAAGCAACTGAGTTGGCTCGAAAATGTAATATTAACACGGAACATAAACATCACAGAGAACACAAAATAAAAAGAAATGATAATGAAATTGCGGAGGATGAAGGAATATTTGATGCTCGGCAGAAATTCATGGATTACTTAGTGTCCTTAGATTCTATTTCAAATAACACAGAGTAAAAGATTCGAGAAACTAACCATCAACAATATACTTAAATTTATGATCGCCAATGTTGTGTTCCATTTATCCTGACTTGTCCACATTGTACCACGCTGTTTCTGACCTTAAGAATAACTAGAACACACGTGGAACGTTCTTTTAGTTGCCTCAAGCACATAAGTTCTTAATCGACTTGAGAAAGGTCCAGGACGGACCGAAACGTCGCCGTCCCTTCACCTTCTAGTGTGTGGTCTGGTCAACACATGAGTCCTACCTTCTTTCTACACAGGGCGAGGATAGATCGCCTGAGTTAGCTATTTGCGCTCCATTGAAAAAGTTGGCTACTGGGGTGGATTATTATGAAATATTTTAGATAAATTTGCTGGAATGAAGCCTAATTTGTTTTCTTTTTTTTATTATTTTCTACCACAGACGTAGCCACACATTTACAATGCTAACCAGCATATATACATTTTCTTCTGTCCTCCATGGACAGGGTTAGAGATGTGTTAAACATATAGTTCGAGGGTTTATTGAACAATCAACCACAGAAGGTGATTCGGTGCTTTTAAAATGCTAAGCTAACCTACATACGTAAATACAGATACACAGATTTACGTATGCCCTACATAAAATGTTCGATGTGTCTTTTACATAGTGTCATTAATGTGCATTTACAAAGGTGAAATGTAATTCTGATCAGCTTCCATATATACTTTATACACATACATTTATATACACACACACACATATACGTACCTATACGAGACTACAGTAGTTCTTTCGTACATTTTTCACATTGTTTCATTTTGTTTTCATTTTACATTTAATATTAAAATTATTATAAATGACACACATGTTTTGAGATTTTTAAGCTTACTGTGAAACTTTTTTAAAGACAAAATAATACGTACGCACTTCCTTTAGAACTGTACCGTCCTTGTGTTTTGATTTTAAAGACAAAATAAAAACTATAAAGAGTTTAAAAATGATTTGGCATGTGTCATATCGTCTTCATATATTTGTCAGACGATCACATCGTCTGACAATCATCAGCAATTGGACCTTGGGAGGGTGGGGGTGGGGGATGGGAGGGGGGGACCTCGATAACACAAAAGCCTAACGTGTATGAATACACACTGGCTTCCTGTCCCCCGACACAATGAATTATCATCAATAATCATTATACACTATATTACACGGAATTATGTATTTTTTGGTCAGCTAATAGCCATAATAATTCCAAAAACTACTAATAACAATTTTATTAAAAAACACAAACAAATGTGGAATATCCGAATCACACGTGACAAAAAAATACTTGAATGATTAATGAATACATCTGACTTAGGATGAGTGAGTGACAGGAGCCGTCACGAGGTATATATATATATATATATATATATATATATATATATATATATATATATATATATATATATATATATATATATATATATATATATATATATATATATATATATATATATATATACCAGAGAATTCTGGTCTCTCTAATTATTACTAACATAACATCGGTGGAAACTGTAACACAATTCGTTAAGTTGTATGTTTGTTTAGAATATCTTAGCGTTAAATTCTGTTGACAGTTGGAATACTGACTCAGTCCTGGGCTCGTATGATGTCTTCTTAATGTCGCATTGTCGTATATCTTTGTGGACGATCCATAATACTTGTGTCACTCTGTGCAGCACTAGAGTGAAATTGTTGGTTGGCGTTCGGAACAGTAAACATGTTCCGAACATGTCGAAAAAAGGCATAGCTTAGGCTTTTCCAGGTAAGACACTCCCCCCCCCCCCGTTCCTCTTCCCAAAGACCAACTATTCCGTCTATCCCTTGGTTGCAACCCCACAGCAGTTGCCTAATTCCTTGGTATCCATTTACTGCTAGATGAACAGAGGTATCAAGTGAAAAAAAAGGTGTGCCAGTCCGCCTCTGTTCTTGTTTATTATTTTGGTTTACATAGCTTACACATAAGTGACATATTTTTCTTTACTAGTTATGTAGTAAAGTGGTTCATAAACTATTGTCTCATTCCCGCTTTACTAAGTTCGTTCTCACCTGTGGACCGCCAGCAAGCACCTTCTCACCTGTGGACCCCCAGCAAGCACTGCTCCAAGCAACAGCCTAGTGGACCAAACTCTCACAAATCAAGCCTGGCCTCGGGCCGGGCTTGGGGAGTAGAACTCCCAGAACCCCATCAACCAGGTATCAACCAACATTCCCACCTGTGGACTCCCAGCAAGCACATTCCCACCTGTCGACTCACAGCAAAATTTACAGTAATCATTGGTGTTATAAATACAATTGTTCATTGTTTAAACTCTAGTCCGTTCCACTCGTAAATGAGTGTAACTGACTAGATGAGGAACTTAATTAATTGTCGTGGCCAATTCGATAGGCAGTTTAAATGTGAAAACGAGTGAATTGAGTGAATACATTGAGCTGCTGATGGTCTAAAGGCGAGGCTGAAGGGCTGATGCTCGACTCAAATATGAGTCACGTAGATGCCATCAGAAAGAACTTCTTCAGTGTCAGGGCCATCATTAACACACACACACACACATTAGGCAACCAATCAACGGTTGAAAAGGTCGGGGTCCAAAAGCTAACAATTCGATCTTGCAGGCACAAATAGGTTAAAACAGATAAGAGAATACATGCACAATGTTGTGAGGCAATGCGCGTAGGCAGGATTTTGTACATTGGCGAGATTATATTTCGTGTTGGGCTTAAGCCCTAATAACCTCTGAATGATTACTAAGTCCACCACAATAGGACCCTACCAGCAAGAAGTATACTTCAGCGATGAACATATTCCATAATTAAATATTAATTCATCATATATATACACAGAGGAGCAGGGGATACCCTCACCTAACAGACGCGGGTCCAGTCAGTGGCCTGCTTACCGTGGTGAGGGAAGGACGTACCTCCGTCGCTCTGTGCTCGCGGTCCTCTTGGTGTGTGTGGGGGACGTTACCCTCTATATACATATACACACATGTGTCGCTTATATTTATTTTGAAAAGTAGAAAAGAAACGATTGTGTAAAGTACATATATGTAAGTGCGAACAATGCTTTTATTTAGTATTGTCCTTAATAATCGTTAAGAAAAAACTTATTCATCGGCTGGATAGCTTACGAGATGCGTGTGCAAGATTTGCGGATCTTGAGAAGTCAAAAAAATAATAATTAATTAATTAATACGTGTTACTAAATTCGGATTGCCTTACCATTCGCAAGTTTTGTGTTGTGTTGCATTCTGACGGACGAGAGGCACAAAATAACCACGATTAAAACATATGAGACTTTTTGTGTTGTAGTTTCCGAAGAGAGAAACACTAATGATGTCATTTACGGCTCTAATCACCCAATGAACTGTGAGACACAACACCTGTTCATATGACAGGTGTTCATATCATTCTGTTCAATACAAATCCAATCTCAGTTCACAGATTTGAGTGAAATTAAGCCAGGTGTGTGGGATGACATAGTTCCTGCTTTATCTGCTACACCTGCTAATATATGTGAACCCGTTACTCTTCACACGGGTAAGATAAAGAAGATGCGCTTTCTCGGGTGGACACATATATATGTGGCACCAACATATGTATGTTACATCAGTGATACACACATGTGACACCAACACATGTATGTTACATCAGTGATACACACATGTGGCACCAACACATGTATGTTACATCAGTGATACACACATGTGGTGCCAACACATGTATGTTGCATCAGTGATACACATGTGGTGCCAACACATGCATGTTACATCAGTGATACACACATGTGGTGCCAACACATGCTTGTTACATCAGTGATACACACATGTGGTGCCAACACATGCATGTTACATCAGTGATGCACACATGTGGCACCAATATATGTATGTTACATCAGTGATACACACATGTGGCACCAACACATGCTTGTTACATCAGTGATACACACATGTGGCACCAACACATGTAGGCTACATCAGTGACACGCACATGTGGCACCAATATATGTATGTTACATCAGTGATACACACATGTGGCACCAACACATGTATGTTGCATCAGTGATACACACATGTGGCACCAACACGTATGTCAAACCAGTGATACACACACATGTGGCACAACACATATGTAACACTCGGTAATATACATGTGGCACATAACGCACATCACAAACTACAGTCAGTTATGTCGTGGCGTTTCCCCCTGAAACTCTCCTCTCAATATAAACGGGAATTGCGTCAAAAATATTCTTTATAGAACTCTACACAAGGGACATATTACATAAAAATGTTCTCTATAGAACTCTACACAAGGGAGATATTACATCAAAATGTTCTCTATAGAACTCTACACAAGGGAGATATTACATCAAAATGTTCTCTATAGAACTCTACACAAGGGAGATATTACATCAAAATGTTCTCTAGAGAACTCTACACAAGGGAGATATTACACCAAAATGTTCTCTAGAGAACTCTACACAAGGGAGATATTACACCAAAATGTTCTCTAGAGAACTCTACACAAGGGAGATATTACACCAAAATGTTGTCTAGAGAACCCTACACAATCTCCCTTGTGGGGACTTGACGTCTGAGTGGACAGCGCTCGGGATTCGTAGTCCTAGGATCCGGGGATCGATCCCCGGTGTTAGCGGAAACAAATGGGTAGTTTCTTTTACCCTGATGCCGCTGTTCACCTAGCAGTAATAGGTACCTAGGAGTTAGATAGCTGCTACGGGCTGCTTCCTGTGTGTGTGTGTGTGTGTGTGTGTGTGTGTGTGTGTGTGTGTGTGTGTGTGTGTGTGTGTGTGTGTGTGTGTGTGTGTGTGTGTGTGTGTGTGTGTGGAAAAAAAATCAGTCTATTGATTGACAATTGAGAGTCGAGCCCAAAGAGCCAGAGCTCAATCCCCGCAAGCACAACTAGGTGAGTACAAGAGAGATATTACACCAAAATGTTCTCTAGAGAACTCGACACAAGGGAAATATTGCACTCAAATGTTCTCCAGAGAGCTCTACACAATAAGTATTCCTATAACAGAATATTTCATGTTCCGTCATTCGTGAGATCGACAGCTATAATTAATGGTTATTTGATGAACTATTGAGGATTATGGACGACATCACTCAGGTTAAGGACCATCAGTCACAAAAGTGTTCGATGCTGGTTACAAAAGCATATATTCTAGCCAGTATTATTAACATAATACGTAATTGTAAAATTATTAGGAACTCGTCAGAGATCTTGCTGACACGTGCGCTAAATATGGATGCAAAACAACACTTCCTGAATGATTGTGTTTTATTGGGCGAAATTAAACTACTAAATCAGCCATTGATCAAAACCCACGAGCATTGTAAAAGTGGTAGCCGAGCCCATCACGATAATGTTGCTATCACATGATATCGAAGTCATTATTAATATTTTACGTCAAAAATTTTAATTTCCTTTTGGGGCAACATTGCATAAAACTATTCAAAATGCTATTAGATTTATTATTATAATTTTTTTTATTGGAGGGGGGGGTTATACATTATTTATATTCATTTAATTTGGTTATTGTACGATCCAGTCACTTGGACTGGTCGGTAGTGCCGGCTTGGATTCTTGCAGGCCAGCGTTCAATCGCTGATGGTGCATGTGGTTGGGCACTGTTTTGTCACGCTGACCTCGTCAGGGGGGCCTGACGGCTGAGTGGACAGCGCTCGGGATTCGTAGTCTTAACGTTCCGAGTTCGATCCCAGGCGGAAACAAATGGGCAGTTTCTTTCACCCTCTTCACCAAGCAGTAAATAGGTACCTGGGAGTTAGACAGCTGCTACGGGCTGCTTCCTGGGGATGCGTAACAAAAAAGAGGCTTGGTCGAGAACCGGGCCGCGGGGACGCTAAGCCACGAAATAATCTTAAGATAACCCAGCTTCTGATCCTCGTCTCATTTCCAAGCGCTACATAGCACTTTATCCTGATGATTACCCAGCCCGTCCTCAGATTAGCTAGTTCATTAAAGAACTAGATACGCGCAGTGAATTTTACGACTATTTAGAAAATACATTTTTGAACTGGGCCTAGTAATTCTAATGAGTGTACATCCTCCCAGTTTAAACCACATGGATACTTATCTAGATATTTGTTATGCTCTGAATGCTTATTAAGGTTTCATTAATAGTCTTTTTGGTAAACTGGTAAATGAATCTTTGTCCTAAATAGAGATTATTTTCAAGTTGTAATTATATTATTTTGAACCCAGGCATTATATTTGACTTAACTTTGAAGTATACGCGTTTTCTAAGCCGTACGGCCAACATTTTCTTTAATGCCAAATTCTTGGGGATACTCAAGCAGGCCAGAATTTGACATGTATGAGGATGCAATACACCTAAATTTACCTAACATAACCTACCCGAAGATAGGAAGTACAGTAAAACCCTGATTATATGATGTAGTGCAATTAGGTACTATTAGTATAATGCAAAAGTTATATTTTTTACAAAAATGAAATTTTTTACTAAAATTAAATTTTTTACTAAAATTATTTTTTAAATTAGAGGTGGTGATTATCACGAAGGCACATGCCCCCCCCCCCAACCCTGAGGATGGGGGATTTGATTACCTGACGGTCATTGTACACTATAATCTAACTTTTATATACTTTTAGCTGCAACAATGTCCACCTTACCTTCACCTGTATAATGCTTATTATAATGAGGTGAAATAATAATAATACTTGGAATTTATACAAAAGCGAGTTTCATAATTTTACAAACATAGGATGAGAGGAGTCTCGAAATGGCTTCGTCAGTAAAAAGGGATCATTTATCTCGTAGCCACGCGAAGGACTTCATCTTTTGGTGGTTTATTCTCAAGAGGGAGTTGTAGCTTGGTGAAGCTCAGTTGAGGTTATGAAGGAGTTGTAGCCTGGTGAAGTTCAGTCGAGGTTATGAGGGAGGGAGTTGTAGCCTGGTGAAGTTCAGTCGAGGTTATGAGGGAGGGAGTTGTAGCCCAGTGAAGTTCAGTCGAGGTTATGAGGGAGGGAGTTGTAGCCTGGTGAAGTTCAGTCGAGGTTATGAGGGAGGGAGTTGTAGCCTGGTGAAGCTCAGTTGAGGTTATGAGGGAGTTGTAGCCTGGTGAAGTTCAGTTGAGGTTATGAGGGAGGGAGTTGTAGCCTGGTGAAGTTCAGTCGAGGTTATGAGGGAGGGAGTTGTAGCCTGGTGAAGTTCAGTCGAGGTTATGAGGGAGGGAGTTGTAGCCTGGTGAAGTTCAGTCGAGGTTATGAGGGAGGGAGTTGTAGCCTGGTGAAGTTCAGTCGAGGTTATGAGGGAGGGAGTTGTAGCCTGGTGAAGTTCAGTCGAGGTTATGAGGGAGGGAGTTGTAGCCTGGTGAAGTTCAGTCGAGGTTATGAGGGAGGGAGTTGTAGCCTGGTGAAGTTCAGCCGAGGTTATGAGGGAGGGAGTTGTAGCCTGGTGAAGCTCAGTCGAGGTTATGAGGCAGGGAGTTGTAGCCTAGTTATTAATTAGGTGGACTTGCTTGCATGCATTCTCGCACACCAGCCGCATCTCGCCTGTGTTTGAGGCTAGCTCAGTCTTGCATTTTATATAATAACTTTAGGCAAGACTGACGAGGATTCCCAAATTAGACAAGTTCTATGTGATTGATTTAATGGAGTGTTCGAGTCTGTTTTGAGCTTCTTGCTCAGTCTTTCTAAAATTATTATTATTATTATTATTATTATTATTATTATTATTATTATTATTATTATCATTAAACAACGTTTGAATGTAAATAGTTGAAAATACGAACGAAATGAATAGGCCAAAGTCTGTCTCGTCATCTCTCCTTTAACAAATAAGTCTTGGTGTTCTCTCTCTCTCTCTCTCTCTCTCTCTCTCTCTCTCTCTCTCTCTCTCTCTCTCTCTCTCTCTCTCTCTCTCTCTCTCTCTCTCTCTCTCTTTCTCTCTCTCTCACTACATTTTGCTTTCATTGCTTTCGCTAGGATAGTTTCAGGAGATTTTATACATTTGTTGCCGCTGGAATGACTCCAGTAGGTCAAA